TTTGTGCCCTTACTGTACATTGTTCTCATCATCTGGAAACCATTAAACGCAATGTTTCCTCTTATCAGCCCCAATTTTGCCTTTGGTCACCGTTCAATACCCTGCCTCTATCATAGATCTATTCATCGCGCCAGAAGGGGGCGTTATTGCTTACTTTGAGAAACGCTGAGCTAAAATAAAAGTCAATGTGTTAGAAATATTCAAGTTGTGACCTTCAATAAAAAATAAAAAATATATAAAATGTCAACATTTTATATATATTCCGTCAAATTTTATATATAGAATTTGTCTGCCGTCGCCCCTCTATATTTCCTTAACGCCGCCAATTCTCTTTGAGCCTTCTACTGCCCCCCTGAAAGCTCCAGCGCCCACAAGGGGGCGTTATCGCCCACTTTGAGAAACGCTGCTCTAAGTCAAAGAACAAAGGACACAAAATCTTTGAAAATACGAGCGCGTTCAATTTTGGAATTGTTTGAGTGAAGAACTGCTTTTAGAAGATTTCAAACTTCTGATTATTCTGTGTATCGCTTTATTTAATTTAGATTATTTATTGTTGTTATCAAATTACTCTAGTGTTGTTAATTGTATACTAACTTTTAAGTCCTTATGAAGAAATTAAAGTGTTTTGTCTGATCAGTGTTATTATTCTTCCGTGTCAATATGACAATATAAAATATTAATAATTTTGTTTAAAAGNTTATTAGATATTTTTCAAAGTATTAAAATTTAATAGGATAATACATACTTATAAGATTATTCATTATATATGATTAAATGGACTACAGTTGCCGTGGCTCTAACAAAGAGCAAAGAACACAAAATCTTTGAAAACACGAGCGCATTCAATTTTGTAATTGTTTGAGTGAAGAACTGCTTTTAGAAGATTTTAAACTTCTGATTATTCTGTGTATCGCTTTATTTAATTTAGATTATTTATTGTTGTTATCAAATTACTATAGTGTTGTTAATTGTATACTAGTCCTTGTGAAGAAATTAAAGTGTTTTGTCTGATCTGTGTTATCATTCTTCCGAGTCAATATGACCATATAAAATATTAATAATTTTGTTTAAAAGAATAACATAATATTGTAAATCATTCAACATCAGTTGTTAGTTCACATTTAATTATACGTCGGATAAAAAATGTTAAATTTAAATGACTAATATAAGTTGAAAAACACTGTATAAGTAGATTTTTTCTTGTTAAATAATTTAATGAAGATAAATTTTAAAGATTTTAAATTGGATGATCTTTGTACACTAGAAAATTAAAACTTGTATTTAAAATTACTAGATTAGAATAAATGTAATGAATTTTTTAAATTTATTTTTGAAAAGATAAAATGTGTTTATGAAATTAAAATTTTAATTATTTAAAACATATAAATATGCAAAAAATTTATTTATTTCATAAAATTTATGATGCAGTCAAACTTTGAACAATGGTTACTGACAGGAACATAAAAGATAGCCGTTGTTTGCAGGTGATTTTGTACGAAATTTTGTTGAAAAAGAAAAAGTTCCTGAAAACATTTTAACTGTTTACATGTGATCATTGTTGAGAAGTGTCCAATATTAGAGATTCGACTCTATATTAGTTTTAAATTTAAAAAATTTCTTTTCTGCACCTGCTATTTTTTAATAAGAAAATTATAAGAAATTGAATAAGAAATTGCTTAAAATTATTTAATTTTAAACTTAATTCAATAAAGAATTGCTTTGAAATATTAATATCAAAAAGTTTCCATATTATTAAATTTAAATAAAATCTCTCGATTTCGTAAAAATCTCTTTGAATGCAACAATATGAAAAATTTTCGATCCTCCTTGAAGTGTTAACACTTTTGAAGTAATTCTATTTTAAGATAACATCTAAATTGAGTATTAAAAGAGAAAGACATTATCGTTATTGAAATTTTGAACCTTTATTATGATATATTCATTAATCTTCTAATTCAAAGATGTGATACATTTATATAAAGATAATTTAAGCTTGAATCTGATACATGCTCTTCTAGATATTTTGTGTTCAGAATATTAATTTAATTTGTCTTCCCGTTTTATGAAGTTTTAAGAAAGAAATAAATTTATTATTTGCACTTAATTAAATATAATATCTTATTTATAAAGAGCATTAAAAGATTTTACTGCATGTCTCTAAATTTATTTAAACGTATTTACTTCATTATTTGCACTGTCGTACTGTCGCCTAAGGAAAAAGTGAATATTTTTCAATTGACATTTTCATAAAATCCTTTGACAACTTTCCCAAAAGATTTACAAATAAGTTTATTCTTATTAAAAGCTTGTAATTATTAATTAGATATTTTATTGAATATTTTGCGATAATTTATTTATAGTGAAGAAGAGTGACAATTTGATAGAAAAATATGGTTTATTATTTTTAAAATAAAAATAAGTTTAGTATGTCATATTTTATATTCAATATGATTTCATATTTAATTGAAAAAAAATATTGTAATAAATAATTAGAATAATTAACTGTGTTATTAACTTTAAGTATAATAGACTAAATACTGTATAATTAAAGTTTCAGAAACAATTGTTAGTACAGTAAAAAAAAATCAATAACTTGAATACTTTATAATATTAATATTTCAAATAGTTATTTAATTTTTATTAATTATTTAATTATAGTCAATTATAAGTTATTATTCATTATGTTAAATTTTCAGTTACTATTAAATGTTTTTTTACAATTATATGAAAATTAACAGGTAAATGAAAATTTCTTATTAACTTTCAAAATTGCTATAACAAGGTTATCAAGTAAAATTTTAAAAATATTGTTGAATTTTTCCGTCCGATGGCTGGATTATTATTAAATAAATCAAAGACAAGTCTGTCCAAGAGGAATCACCATTTATTTTGTATTTCGGACTACACACACACATTATGCAAAATAAATGGTGATTCCTCTTGGACAGACTTGTCTTTGATTTATTTAATAATAATCCAGCCATCGGACGGAAAAATTCAACAATTAAGAAATGTTATTTATTTTATAAAATATGTTTTTAGTTCGATATAATTGAATATAAGTGAATGTTAAGTAAAATTACATTTATAGAATTGAACACAGAATTACGCTTGAAATTAGTTTCTCTTTTCAAATTGTTGTTATTGTTAATTAAACACTGAAAATATTGACGTTAAAAGATTGCTAAATGATGACACTGTTTTTTCTGTTGTGGGTTTTTATTGATTCTTTTTGTATATTCTTCGTAAGTAAAGTTTTTCTCTTCGTTTCTTTTCTCTCTCTTTCTCTAACTCCCTTTTCCTTTCCTTTTCTCTCTCTCTCTCTCTCCCCCCCTTTTCCTNATAAATCAACGCGAAGTTATGATGCAAAATAATATTAATAATTATTTAGCCTTCTGGTAATAATAATTTAATATAATAATTTTCATCACAAAAATTACATACAAAAATTAATTTATATTTAATAAATAAGTACAGTACATAATTACTTTCTGTTATTAATCTTTTAAAATATTTGGTCATATCGAATTTATTAAAAGCTTCATAATTTAACTTTAATTATATCTTTGATTTATTATAATAAAATCAAATAGCTTCTTATCAAATTTATAATAAGTGCTTTTAAACAAACACGTATTTATGATTAAAAAACTAG